CGTGAATTGTGCCGTTAAATAACAGTAATTTACTGACATAAATTTATAGCTCTTCATTTTTACAGTATGATACTGTTATACTACCATGGAAATTAACTCTGCTCCAATTGCTTCAAACAGTCCGAGTTTAAAATACTAGTATTCATACGGTGTTAGCAATGTGAACTTATTTCATTTGAGTCCATTAAGAAGAAATATTTCATAGTATAAAACTACAAACACTTTAAATAACTAAAAACATGTCTTTAACTCAAATCATCGCTGCTTAGGCAACCGCACAGTTACGGTCTTTAAATAAAGCAGCAGAACTTCAGTGTTTGTGGCTCATCATTGACTGAAGCACAGGCTCTACTCTCCAGCACAATGATGACTCACAAAACTACATTAAACTAACAGATCTCTCTTGAGCAAAAACACATTAATACAGTTCAGTTCAATATTTACTCTTCTTATCAGTTCATGACTTTGCATAACTGTTTTCTGTGGACCTTCACTAATATTTCAGTAAAAATAGCTTTTTTCCTTTGGTTAATCTGACTGTTAAGTTTTACAGTAAATTGCTGTTATTTCCTTTTCTACAAGGACTGCAGAAGGCTACTTTCTCGAAAAGAACAAATTTTACCCAGAATGCATTGTTTTTTTTACTGTTGTAATGAAAAAACAGGATGTTACTGTCAGAATATGGCCGTTTTTTACAGCAATTTTTTACAGTGTACATATAAATAAAAAATGTAATGTTTGTATGCACAAAAGACTAATGACATCATAAGTGCAAGAAATACATAAACACGAGCATGTAATAATACATTACAAAAAGTAAATATATATTTTACAACATAATTAAAAAGTACTGATATGATGAATTTAAAAATGGCCTAGCGACGCCCATGCGCACAAACCCTGCAGGACCCAGTGCTTCGGCTGCTTGACGGGAGACGAACAGGGGCTGAACAGCAGCACGGCTTCGGTCATGAAGAAGCAGAACTGGAGGATGGGCATGAGAAAAACACACACACACACACACACACACACACACACACACAAATCAAAGTTAGGAGATACAATTTATTTACGTGCAAAACTATCAAGGCATGTGGGCAGAATTTGCGTCATGAGGAACGGACTGGCGTAGGCTACCTGCTGGGCAGTGTGAGCTTGTTCCTCGGACTGTGCCTGAAGTCAGTTGTAGTTCTTGTGTTTCTCTTTTCTTCAGTGATTCTGCTTGTTAACAGCAGCTGTTCATCATTGTCTGAATTCACTCATTAGTGTTCATTCTCTCTGTCAGGTGGACTGTATTAGTAAACTCATGTAGGGAATAGTGAATGAGGGTGTAGGGTGTGATTTGAAACACAGCCTCTGAGTGTCGAATCTGAACGCTGTTACTACAAGGACTGCAGAAGGCTACTTTCTCGAAAATAACAAATATTACCCAGAAAACATTGTTTATTTTACGGGATTGTACTGTTGTAATGAAAAAACAGGATGTTACTGTCAGAATATGGCCGTTTTTTACAGCAATTTTTTACAGTGTACATATAAATAAAAAATGTAATGTTTGTATGCACAAAAGACTAATGACATCATAAGTGCAAGAAATACATAAACACGAGCATGTAATAATACATTACAAAAAGTAAATATATATTTTACAACATAATTAAAAAGTACTGATATGATGAATTTAAAAATGGCCTAGCGACGCCCATGCGCACAAACCCTGCAGGACCCAGTGCTTCGGCTGCTTGACGGGAGACGAACAGGGGCTGAACAGCAGCACGGCTTCGGTCATGAAGAAGCAGAACTGGAGGATGGGCATGAGAAAAACACACACACACACACACACACACACACACACACACAAATCAAAGTTAGGAGATACAATTTATTTACGTGCAAAACTATCAAGGCATGTGGGCGGAATTTGCGTCACGAGGAACGGACTGGCGTAGGCTACCTGCTGGGCAGTGTGAGCTTGTTCCTCGGACTGTGCTCGGCGTGGTTCGGCGGCAGCGTGAGCGGGTCCAGCTGCTACCTGGCTGTCCTTTATGAGGTGTGATAACTGAACATAGTCCTCTGTCCCGTTCTGTGCGCTCTGCTCGTTATGAGTCAGGTCACGAACGCTTACATGGCCCGCAAACCAATGCAGTACTGAAACCAGGGCCGCTGCTGGCCAAATGGGTGCCCTAAGCAGGATTATATTGTTGTGCCCCCTTCCTCAAATATTATGGAAGTAAAAAAACAAACTTGTACTACAGTTGTAGCTCTAGCCAGTTACCTATGGCTATGATTTTATTAATACAGTTGTCTGATTGATTTTATAGTCTCAAGCATTCAGAAATCACGCAAAAGAAAATTAAGCAGTTTTACTACGATAAAACCATGGTTTATTTTTGTGAGGGTTGTGATGTCCGTATGTTTTTTGTTGAAGAAATTATAGAGGCTTTGTCATCTATAGCAAAAAGCTGGCCAAAAATGTAAGATTAAGTGAATATTTGAATTAAATGTTTGGCCAATACCCTAAACAAGGGTTTGATTGTCCTGTAAGTGTAGCAGCAGCAATTACATGGCCTTTGGCTTCCTTTGCAGGTAATGTGCATAAATCGTTTATTTTGTATTAGCCTACATTATGTATTTTAACAGTGTTATTAACCAATCATTATTGCCTCATTGTTTTTATATAATGCATTTTAAGTCATTTTAAAGGCTATTGTTGTCTTAGGTCTGTTTTTATAACCACAAAAATTATCATCTTAATACTTCTTTGTAAATTATTATTTGAAATAACAAAACCATGGTTAACTTGCGGTTACCATGGATACAAGAAGATGATTTTTGGTGTTATTCGTGTTAAAACCATGGCTAATTTTCATAAAGGAACATAGAAACTCAGAGAGAATATTAGATGCGCTGGTGATGGTGAACTTATTTCCGACATTAAAACACATTATTAACGTCAACGTCAAAAAAACACAGGATTATGAATGTGCCTGAAAGTGATGATGCATGGGCTTTGTTTTCACCTTTTTTTTTTCTTTTCTCTGCGCCGGATTGCTGATGTCTTTTCACGGGCATAGATGTCCATCCATCAATTATGATCCTTTGCATTCAGCTGCAAACACACGTTGTTTTTAATTTTTTTGAGCAACTGGGATGGTGCCCCCCTGGGAGTTGGTGCCCTACGCAAACTGTGTACTCTGCGTATAGGGAGCAGCGTTACTGACTGAAACGGAACTTTATCAGCTGGACCAGAATTGCAAGTTACTGAGCTAGTTTTATTGTTAATTATGTATTTGTCCTTTTGCAACTACCTAAAAACTAAAAAAAAAATATATATTTTTGTAACGTTTCAAATTTTTGAATGCATTTCATCAGTGCATATTTTTGGTGCAGATATCTTTGGAAATGACTGAATGCAACTATTTTTCTTAAATGCGACGATAAAAGAGTGTGTTTATTAAATTATTTGTTATTGTTTTGATGTTTATGCATTTTTAAATGTATTTGCATTTATCAGTGCCAGTCCGCCCTTTTCTGTTCAATTAAACAATTGCAGCATTTATGCCAACAAATGTTTCTTAATGATTGCAGTGTTCGTTAAAATGTTGCACAAAGTCTTTTTCTGTTGAATTAAACAATCGCAGATCATGAGAGAAAACATTTATGCCTTATGACTGAATGTTTATATTATTAATAATAAATATGGTGACAATATCTTAAGTAACAAATGACAAATCATAATTTTGTTTAAATGTTGCACAAAATGTTTTAAACATTTTTTTTAATTTTTAATTAAACAATTGTAGATCATTATGAAAACTTTTACCTGAAAACTTACATATTATTATTATTATATATAACTTAAAACATATACACACACACACATACATATATATATATATATATACATACATACCAGTTATTCTAAATACAGGAGGAGTCAAGTTTATGTTAAAACAATATTTAATAAATACAATGTCATTTGAATGTACTCCTCTCCATGCTGGGAACATGAGATGACGTGTGGACACCTCCCAGGACAGTGCCTGTATGAGATCACGTGTGTTTGCGGGTCCCGACTGCTGAATCGCTCACAGATCGTGGTCTTGAACTCACCTATGGGGAAAAAAACCCTGCGTCTCTCGGATAGAGGGATTTTTTTCCTTCTTAAAAAAAAAGGTTCAAAACGTATAAAAATAAAAAAAAGAATGAAAATGAATTACTCTTCAGCATTATAAATAAATATTTCTGGTAAATTTGTACATAGTTAAAAGAGAAAACAAAACTAATACATAGGTATGCCGTAAGATGTTACAAAACAATGATTCGAATAACAATGAAAAAAGATATAATCACATGTCAAATGCGCACCATTATATTGATATAACAGCGTCTGCAGACTCAGGCCAAAGTTCACAATGTGGGTATCTGCCAATCAGAAAGCAGATTGTGGGAGGAGTCAAAATAAAGAGCTCTAATAGGCACAGAGAATGAATCAACAAGTATTTAACCTTTTTGTTCAAATGTACAAAATCTTTATTTTCTGTGCTATAACAGATCACGTTTATAATGCCTATTGTATGAATAAATTATATAGATTTTTCGTAAGCTTGTGCACTTAATTTAAATTCTTTGCATTTCACAATTTCACACATTGTTTTAACTGCATAAAGTGCATGATGTTAATATTTACATTATATTAAGATTTACTAACTTTATAAAAAAATAATAATAATAATTGAACTCACCTATGGGGAAAAAAACCCTGCGTCTCTCGGATAGAGGGATTTTTTTCCTTCTTAAAAAAAAAGGTTCAAAACGTATAAAAATAAAAAAAAGAATGAAAATGAATTACTCTTCAGCATTATAAATAAATATTTCTGGTAAATTTGTACATAGTTAAAAGAGAAAACAAAACTAATACATAGGTATGCCGTAAGATGTTACAAAACAATGATTCGAATAACAATGAAAAAAGATATAATCACATGTCAAATGCGCACCATTATATTGATATAACAGCGTCTGCAGACTCAGGCCAAAGTTCACAATGTGGGTATCTGCCAATCAGAAAGCAGATTGTGGGAGGAGTCAAAATAAAGAGCTCTAATAGGCACAGAGAATGAACAGTGTTATTAGCTGAGGGATTTGTCAGTCACAGGTCAACCAGCGCGTGAACGAGTCAACATTAACACAAACGTTTAACACATCGAGATTCTTTAAAACGGCCCAACGAACACTTTGGTCATGACTGTGGCCCCAACACGGATGAAACTGAATGAGCGCGCAGATGATCCGAAGCGCAAATTTCGAAAAACGACAGCTAGTAGGGTCGCATAACAGTCTACACATTCGTAAGATGATCCCAATGGAGAACAATGGATGATTTTGTTTGCTACGCAATTGAACGAGAACACAAATCCATTTGTCTGCTTTAAGGCTAATATCGAACTAAACGCACTAAACGCACTAAACTTACGTCCCTCCACCAAATTTTAAAGGCTAACATGAAAATACATTCGAGTTTTTAAGGTTTTCCTTGTCGTTTTTTTTTTCTCAAAGGAAAGCAAAAAGGTCTCAGCGGTGCTAATGCTAGGCATGGCTTCTGTTGTTCTACGATTCGATTGTTACGAATTCCCCTCGTTGCCCAGTCTGCGATTTCAAACGAATATGAATATTCATGTAGGACCACTGTTTACAAAAGTAATAGTAGAACTTACAATTATAATAAAAAAGGTCACATATATTTTTTCGTTTATCATTCCAGGTGATGCTACAAGGTCTAGCAAATGGCTAAGTATCTCTAAAGTCATCTCTTACGAATGCAAAGTCTGTAAAGACAATCACATTTAAGTTCGGTTCGGTATTCTCTCTGAGGGAATTCGTCAGGTCTGTGTCAAGGCCCTCGCGAGAGAGATACGACTAGGGCTCTTCACGTTAGCCCTGTGCTCTGGTCCCTTACGGTAAAGAAAAATATATAATCGCCTTTCTTAACTCCATGCATATTCAGCATTTGGATTTATATAATTTCAGCTCCATACAATAGGTTTCTTCCATTTGGAACAACGGAATCCAAGGCAGCCAATCACTGGCCCATCACCTCTATGACATCGTCGTCTGAGCTGCTCCCGCCGTTTTCCGCAAGCGAGGGGTGCGTGTCGGGGCGGTTGAACGCTGCCCCCAGCAGGCCGGAGGAAGAGAGGAAATTGGAGGCAGTGGAGGCAGGGGCTGGCGTAGAGGACAGGCCTCTAGGGTGTAGGGACCCAGGGAACAGCGGCTGGGAAAATGGTACCGGGAAGCCAGAGAGCATGCTTGCCATGCCAGGGTTCATGAGGAAGGGTGGGAGCGAGGAGGAAGTGGAGGATGATGATGAAGAGGGCACTGAGGATGAAGAAGGTGCCAGCATTCCAGCATGCGTGGCGGATGTGGTGTTGGTCGAGCAGGTCGAGGAAAGA